AACCTCTGTGGTAGACTACAAAGTCTACGAGCTACAGCGGCACCGCCACCTCCGCTGCTGCAAGACGCCACATTTTGTGACCCACTTGCGGTTTCGACGGTTAAATATGCGCTTACCCACAGATTTTCGCATCGCTGTAAGCTATCAGGCTCCTACAAAAGAATGCGAGTACAATTTTGGTAGTGCTAGAAGCAATTTGAACATGATTTTTATGTCATCATTTATAAACAGGCGTTCTTATTTTGCACATAGACATGTAACGATATTTGAACATAACACAGCAACACTACTCCAGGAATTGCTCAACAAAGAAACGGGACACTACCCAATAAAGGAAAAGACAATCGCACGCAGGCTAATCTACCAAAAATTCATTCGTATCTACTCGATTCCAAAAACCCAACTCCACATTCTTCCAGTATGAATTCCGCACCATAGGTGCATTTACACCCACGATGTTTGCAGTCACTGGCGAGGTACGAAAAAAGGTATACATGAAATTGTGTAAAGTATTACGTATAAGTCGACTAGAATAGAAACGTGCAAGCATGTCAGCTATCAATCTGGCTGTGGCAGCTTGGAAAAATCGAATGTCAGTACATCTAATAGCAAATCGGCACATTTGACAGTGTAACGTCGACATGTTACACCTAGTAGATAACACTGTTTCCCAATGTGGGAATGCCCGATATCCGATATCGCTTCAGCGTAGCCATATGTTGGCGCTTATTATACATACCGATACAAGTCTTACCAGGAATGTCTTGCCCTATTTGCATATCCAGAAAGTGTGCTGATTCCCCACACTGTTCTTGGGTAACGCGAACGGGGTTGTCTATCTCATCACCATTCGAATCTAACACCATCGTTGGGTACATACCACCATATTGATTACCCTCCTTATATATAATATCTTCAAATGTTGGTCCAGTCTGGTTACCATATCGCACCGTAAAAATGTCATCTATATACCGTTTTGTACCAATGCTGTACTGCTCAATAAATTCAAATGGATACAACGATGTAGTCCCAGCGTGTGTAGCAGTTAAATACTCATCCACCATTTCCTTCAAAAAATCGAAGTCATGCATAAACGCAAAAATATATATAAATGTATATTTTTTTTTTGGTTTTTCAAACCTATTTTTTTTTTTATTCGCTAGTTAGGGAGCTGGTGCCGTTCCCATAAAGATACCAGAGGCTTGTTGGTACATGCCGTTCCCAAATTGTATAAATCCTTCATCCAAAATAAAATCAATCCATTTACAGACCCGTTCCCATCCAATGTAATTCGCTCGACTTCTGCTAGATGTTACGTTGCTCGGGTTTTCCTTCGACCACTCGATGTCTCTAACAAATGGTGTCTTATTATCAGGCCCAATACCCCATCTCAACTTCATCGACTTAAACCCATGTCTCTCAGCTTGGTGTTCAAACGACAATTTCAAAGCTTCCCTCAATTTTTCCTTCAATGGTACTACAGGGATATTAGGGTACATACCAACGAAGTCAAATGTTTGGAAGACATGCGCATCAGTACATCCCTACATTTGTGCTCGAATATCGATATCCTGTGATACTTCTAGAAGACTTTCCACGCTAGAGGTAATCCAACATTCCTTGGCAGCAATACCAACTTCTGCGCATTCTTCACGCCAGATCGTGTGTAAACAAGGCCGGATACCAACCAGGACTGCGTTGACTACCTTGGCCACCCCTTCTGTGATCGTACCACAACAAGCCGTAATTCCACGTGTCGCTACCAACGGCTTATGTAGTTTAGCAGTGAGGTATCGTGTGGGTAACTTCTCAGTGTTTTCATACTGAGTGTCACCATCCTCGTCTTTGTACTGCTGCTGTGGGATGGGCAACTTTTCATCTAGCAAAAACTTGTGTTGTCGGTCAATGGTCGTCTGTTTCACCAGCTCCAACTCTCCGTGTACTGTCCTATACCCGGGTCCTTCAAGTTCTGCTTTGGCTAGCCTAATATAGCACGCCTTGCAAGTGATACAGATGCAGTTGGCCGCTTTGTCGACTCTCGTAAACACCACCTTCTTGTGCAATTGTTGAAAAGATGTCCTAGCTGCAGCAAAATCTATGTGGCCCGTACGAGGCTTAGCAACCTCCCTCTTGTCCGCGTCAGTCACCTTTTGTTCTAT